AGCTCGGGATCGCGACGTATTCACTTTGCGTGATTGGTCCAGTCAGTGATAGCAAACTAGCAAACACACGAGGACGATGATTGGATGGATTGATGGATGCTAATGGCTATACCCTTTGTAACGGGCGGTAGCTTGCGCCACCTAGCCCAACTCTAGAAAGTAAAAAACACACGATTGCAGTGACGACGCACTTTTGATTGCGGTGCGGTGGCTTATAAGTTATGCTCATAGCTTATGGGTGCGGTGACGATGCACATTTGCCGCTGCTTGATTGGCAACATTGGGTCTTTGGGTGAAATGAAGAATAGAGTCACTTCGGTCGGAGGGAAACGGAGAATAGAGTCACTTAACAAAAGCAGAGCGTGGCATAATATGTACGCGCTGTGTACTTTGTGATTGTTTGATTGGCCGTCTTATCCGCTAATGTCACGTTCTGATCGGCTGCTGGTCGATGCTGCGTTCTGATTGGCTGCTGCGTTTTTTTAAGTTTTCGGTGACGATAGAACGTGCCTTGACCGATAGGTGTTTTGTTTGTTGTTTGTTTATTCATACTGCTAACCTCTTTCGAGGTCGCAAGAGGAGTGGAAGACACATAGATACAAGTATTTTATGGTACACTCATTTAAACAAAACGTCGCAAAAGTCAGAATAGGTGGCTGCATTAATGACATTGTGTGGCAGGTTGTTCTATTCAATTAGTGTTCTAAGAAAGAAGGATTATTTAAATGAATCATTTTTATAATTATATGGTTTAAGTGTCTTTTGATGTGAATATCTGGATGCTCTGGGGCAAAAAAGATGTAACGTATTGATTTTTGTCTATTCCCAGCTTATTGCTGGGAATAAAGTTTCCAGCTCATTAAATAAAGCAATTTCAGACACTTTTGTTTCCTTCTTTCGTGTGACGTTTGGAGCCCAGCTCTAGCGCACAAGTGTGTGGGGGGCACATGAGAAGAATACATATTAAAAACAAATCGCACTGCAAGTCTCTGAACTCTTTCTAAATCAGCTATGTTACAAGCCGTGTGCGGGTCCCAGACACTGCTAGCATACTCTAGAATTGTCCTAATAAATGTTTTATACAACAACAACTTAGTATCGCTTGATCCATGTTTAAAATTCCTGCGCAAAAATCCAAGTTTATTTATTGCCCTTGCAATAATTTGGCCAATATGCATATTCCAACTCAAGTCAGAAGTTAAGGTGACACCGATGTACTCATAAGAGGACACTCAAGGTAGATTATGACTGCCGACAGCATAGTTAAAGTAAATAGGATTCTTTTTCCGAGTGACAGACATGCACACAGTTTTAGTAAGTTTAAATGACATTTGCTCATCTTTGCACCACATATAATTTTTTTCTAAAGAAGAACGTAGTACTTCATAGTTAGTGGAACTCCTAATTTTATGAAAAAGAATGTTTCTGCGCGATGGAGATAGCCCAACGACCAATCGATTTTTTTTTTCATATCTCTCGGAGTTAATGAATTCCTCAATGAAACATGTCGTGCGGTGAAAAGTGATTTATTGAGGACTCCGACTTAAACGATGAAATTTAGCGATCGTCGATAACCTGTCTTAGTGAGTTGCGAAAAGCGTTCCTAGGTAACGTCGGCACACGTGTTGTAGTTATGTTTTGCGAAAATGTTCCGAACGGTGTGTTTGTGTTGGGGAAATCTTGCGAAACAGTGGCGAGTTTGTTTTTAAGCGTGAAACGCTTTGTTACGGATCCGCCGATCTCAGAGGTTTGTTCGTCCGTACATCCGTCCGTTCGTCCGTCCGTTTTTGGATCTCCCTCTAAATTTAGCGGGGAAATTAATGTCACGTAATCTACACACTTTCAGCTCCACCGCAGAATTTAGCGGAAACATCGATGTCACGTGACCCGAAGTCACGTGATCTATACGCCGATTCAGTTTCCCTGCTAAATTTGGCTTGGATATTGATGTCACACGGCCTGCTGCCACGACACCTATTTACTGATAGTTTCTCCGCTAAAATTGGCTGAAAAATTGATGACACCCATGCACCAATTCATTAATGACCTGTACACAAAACCCCTTTCCCCTTTAAATTTAGCGGGAAAACGTCGCGTAAACAAATTAAAACGATCGCTTCATTTTATGCGTTAGATGAGTTCAGAATGAAGGTCGCTGCGAATATTTTTGACACAACAGTTACAGATTTAAAAAGGAAACCAGGCATCACGCTGCTATTTCGAAGTCTGGGCTGAATGGCTTTATGTTTGTTAACTGGACGATGAAGACAGAATGTGCAAAACTCGGGGACAACATCCTTGACAATGCCACCAAAAGTACTCGAGCGCGTGTTTAACGGGACCATGAAACGGTTTTAAAATCGAACTTCATTCACTGCACGTCGTAAAAGGTGTGAAAAAAAAAAAAAAAAAAAACCTAAAACACAAAAATAGAGCCAGAAAAATCTTCGCTATAGAACTTTTAGAAGAAAACCGGACTCTTTTACACCCTCTTTCCTTCGAAAGCTATTTGCCTTTTCACTGCGATGCATCCGCGGAACCGCAGCACGTCAGCCAAATCCACGTTGCCTATTGAGTAAAAGCCTACCTCACCATCACCGCGATTATAAACAATAAATAGCCGCGAATGTATCCTAAACGTTTTGTTAACTAATATTCAGATCTACATCTTGTAGCATAATTAGAGGTGTGACGAAAATTGCCAAATTCAATAATGCTCAGAGCCGAGCGCCATCTATCGTGTGGGAAACGAAGCAAGAGAAAGACTTGACTGCACCTGCGCAGTCAACCCATGAACGTCGTCTGCTGAATGGGTTTGCTTTTGGTGTCGCTTTCTTCGCAGAGCAGATTTTCGTTTACTGGCTGCTCGAGTAGTGTTTACATTGTTAGTGATCGATCGCTCGGTCGCTATGCCGAAAAGCTGCAGTGTACCGAAGTGCCCGAATTACAGTTTCTGCAGTCCGGTGGTTAAAGATAAGCAGTTGCAGTTTCACCGCTTGCCACTCAATATGATCCACGTGGAAGCACTTGGTGCAGGCTCATCGGTTTGAGGGACCCCGGGTCAAAGGTCATTTGTGTATGCTTGAAAGATTTTGACACCGAGCGTGATGATTTCAGCTACATTCACAGTGTTCTCCGCGAATGCGGGCAGGTTCTAAAAGCCCTCCGCCGATTCCTTTAAAGAACTGGAGTCTTCGTCGGAAGACTCGCCGCACTTCCCAGCAGGCTTACCGGCGTAAGGGACTAGTCCCATGCTGTCGCTGTAGCGCAACATATCTTATTGAATTTCGCTCAGCTGCGATGTTTCAATGGCTATCGCGGCGATGAGAAGCGCCGATTCAGAAACTATGTAGGTGGCATCAGCGCCATGAGCGCAGCAAAACCTACCGGCACACCGCCAACTTGCCGCCGCTAACGCTCCCATTCTCCTACTGCTGAGAGAACTTCCGGTTCCGGTTCCGGTGGACGTCACGACCGTCAAAATCACGCCGCAGCTTGTTTTGTGGTGAGTTGGAGAGGAAGAAAAACTCGATATTTAATTAATTTCTTTTTTGTGTAGAAGCTAACAAACCGAAACGAAAACAGATGCCTGTTCGGCATTCAGTGAACATTGAAGGTTTAATGTAAAAGTTATTTGGGGCAAAAGTAAAAAGGTAATTTCATGGTCCCTTTAATTGCCCGTTCAAACTGGGCACGCGCGCTCTTCCCCTATTCAGAAGGGCCACAGAATGTAGTCCCTGAATATAGACGCTTTCCGTTTCCTTTCGTTGTCAGTCCCTTGGGTTCCGTATCTGGTATGTGGGACGAAAAAATAATAAGACACTTCAACCTGGAATATGCAAGAAAATATAGATGAGGCAAAATAAGAATGTGTGAAAATCACGCATTTTTCGTGAACACCTTCGAGCGGCGTAAAGACATAAAAAAAAAAGAAGACATAAATAAAATATCTTTTTACTATGGCATCAGACTAGCACGAGCTCCTTGCTCAAGGGTGTGCGGCGGCTGCACGAGGAATGCCATGAAATCGAGATGTTTTATTTACGTTTTTCCACAGTTGCCTCGTTTCGCCAGCGAGCGACACTAGTTCGCCGCGGGCCGTTGGGCGCGCGCATGCGCACGTGAGGGGACTTTATCTAGTCGTTCGCGTCTCATTGTTTCTCGCACCCCTGTGCTCACCTAAGGAGTATATATCTTACACCGTGGTCCAGAATACCGCGATGGCAAAACGGCAAACACACTGCTTTGCTATAAACACAAGGAGCAGCCGGTCAGGATTTAGTGGTGGCGCTGCTGTCGGCACTGAGATGCGTCGTCCACTCGCGTCCACTTTCACTTGGGTGCTTTCTTGCTCCACAACGAAGTATCGCTTGTGATAAGTGTTCCCAAAAATACTTTTCAAAGTTAAACTATGCTTATTTGGAACATCTGGCTAACGTAACAAAAGTATAAACCTGCCGATGCTTTTGTCGTCGTCATCGTAGCGAACGGCAAAGAGGAAGGCTTTCTTTTTTTTTTTTCTTTCGCAGGGAAAAACGTATTACGTTGAGCACCCAGTAGAAAAGCAGTGAGTTTGCCGTTTTTCTTTCGTGTTAGTCTGGATGCCTTGAGCTATCCTGTCTGGAAGAGCGTCAATAACGAGAGCTTCTAGCGAAGCGAAGGAGTCTTTTCTAACGCGGCGTCTGCGTTAGGCATCTAAGGGTCGATGAGCGTGCCATCTATCGTCGTCATGATTTACAAGGGCGCCGCCGCATACGGAGCAAGCTGAGCGACGCTGACACTTCCCTCTTCTAGACACCGGTACGGCGCTTTGTGTTTGGGTGGAGAGGGTCATGTGGTGCGCCGCTTGTGCGTTTTTGGTCGCCGGTGCCGCCGGCGAGGAGTTGCCGGCGATTGATCAGCTGAATTCGCCATTAAGCTTTAGGAAGTACTTTGATGCCGTGCACATATTTACACATGCCTTGCCATTTGCTTTGTTTAGGAGCAAAAGTGGAGCAGCCATGCCTTGGGGATGCTGCCCGTCGGGCCAGGTGAAGCCCGAGCCCAAGGCCATCCTGGGCGACGACCTGGTGCTGCGTTCCAGCAACACTGAGCTCCTCGTGCCGCTTGTCTCGGTGCCAGAGTACCTGGAGGCCGTTTGCCGACACTTTGGTCCCAAGACCAGCTTTGTGAGCGCCGCAGCAGCAGAACGCACAGCACACGGTAGCGCATATGACACGCATCGTATTTTCTGGATTTTTCGCAACTCCCACCCGGACGAACAAACAACCAGAGGAGCGGTGACGGTGGCGGTGGCGGAGACGGTGGCAGGTCTACAGTTACTCTAGTGGCAGGGACTGCTGGCTCTGGTGCTGCTCTTATTGCATGGTTCTGGTCGGCGCGTTCATGCATCATGAAATTCTAACAAAAAAAGCGAGTCCATTAAAATATGTAGTGTTGCGTTCCGCCTCACAACTTTTAAAGCTCGATGTACCCATTTGCCAAACGCACGTCACCATTTCCGTCACCTGTGATATGCTCTTGCCCTGACCGCTTCGAATTGCAGCCAAATGAATTATTAATTTTAATGCGCTGACCGGGAGTCAGCGAGCAGGTGCACGAGAAATCCTGGAGAATCTATTTCCGCCCTTTCCGCCATCTTGGAGCCAGCACTCCGCCATCTAAAGGGCGTTGGAGTTGTGAATAGTCCTTGAACTATAGGTGTTTAAAAGCCGTAGTCACGCGGCTAAAGCCATAGTCACACTCGGCGGCGTACGCAAGAGGGCGAAAGGTCTCACGAAGAAAATGATTTACATTTTATTTGATTTTTTAAATGATTAGACTAACCTTTTTAAACTGCTTATTTCTGTTTAGCACGGTGTCAAAGGTTCAATAGAAGAGGAAAGTGCTCTAACGCGAGATACAAATTAGTAGCTAAAGTGATAGGTTTGGATAATAAGATAATCTTAAAAGTGCCCCGTGGAAGATTCTGAGATTTCCTAATATGACGATAGCTCACTCTAGATGCTCTAAGCATCCCAGAAATGCCTCAATAATGACAATACGCGGCCAATTTTCCTATTAAAGATAATAGATCGCAACACATCGAGGTCATCTCCTGCGATGGGTGTAGCACTTTCCGAAACCAGGACCAATGTCAGCCAATAGCAAACAAAGGATCCTCGCGCCTCCAGCCAGTGGAACCGCGGAGTAATATCGCGAATGCGTCCTGCTCGTTGCTCATACAGCCCGGACTACAATTTAACCCAGCCAGCGTGCTCTCGAGAGCTGTCGACCGGACACAACACTCCCGCGGAAGACAGAAGAAAACACAGTGCTTTGATTTTGAGACTATTATTGCAGTATTACGAAGCGCGTCTCCGAGCAAGCGCGCTCATGGCCGAATCATCTAGATACAGTCATGTTCATTGGCCACCCCAGCACCTGGAAAAGTAAAATGGATGTAAAACACGCTGACGTCAATGTTGGACCTGTACAAAAATATATCGCAGAAACTGCATGCGAGTTGACAGTTGTCTACAAAACTAGGATTCCTCCCCCTGAGTGGTTAGCTGCCTTCAAGGAACTGAAGGCGTTAAAATACTTTTAAACTAATGACCAGTTCTATACTCTGTTTCACCTTACGTTGTACCGCAGTGAAGGCTGGAAGCGCGAGCTCATAGCGTTGGCAGTCCCCTTAAAGGACCCATGAAACGATTTTAACGTCGAGAGAACGTGCAGCTTATTACCCTTTTTTTTAACTTTAGCACAAGGACCATAAAACGCGACTACTTCTCTCGAAATGTCACGGATGCGCTGCGTAACCGCAAAAACAAAAAGGAACTATTTCTTGACTTGACTTCACGTACGGCGGCCATAGGAACTAACTTTGTGACGTCACGGTGGGTGCGGTTACTGAGATCGCTTTTGAACAAGTATATTCTCAGTTTAATGGTAACGTTTAGAAATGATTTCATTCCGACATAAAAAAATGAATCGAAAGTTTTATATTCTTGTTCAGTACACCAAGTCTTCGCAGCGCCATCTATCCGCAGTAAGTCAAAGCATCCCCTCCCCGCTGCTCCGCTGCCTAGCAACGTTGGCTGGCTGCTACCGGACGAGCGATGTGATCAACGCGATATAAAAACTACGTTTCGGCAGCTGCGTGGTTCGTTTTCTTTCTTGTGAGCCTGGTTCGCCTGCCTGCAGTTATACTCTGTAGTGGGCGTGTAGGCGCAATGTAGAGTGCCTTCATACACACGCGCGCTTTTGCTTGAGTGGTGACATCTCAGCCATTTTTCCGCTCAATCGTTTTTTATGCATTTTGAAGTGCGCGCAATCCGGTGTCACTCAGCTCGAGCGCGTAGCTTTGGCTAATGTATAGACGCCATTTTAGCGCCCAAGTCACGCACCGAGTGCGCGAGAGCGTCACGCGCTGGCACATTCAGCGCAACAATGGATGTCTTCACCCTCAGACAGACAGACATGTAGGCACCCTAGCGCAGTGAGCTATGGGGCGCCCTCTAGGGTGTACGTAAAAAGGGTGTGGGTGAATAAACGGGGGCTTTTTCGTCCGAGCACTCGGAGCTTCAGCTGCGTCAGTCTTTCCTCCACGGCCCTCGGCTCTGGCCGCCTCCTCGGCCGCCTCGGCTCGAACCCGCCCACTACATACTCCGTTTCACCTTATGTTGTACCGCAGCGAAGGCTAGAAGCGCGAGCTCATAGCGTTGGCAGCTGCCCTAGGTGCACGAGAGCTTGTGCCGCCGATGTGTGCCTTAAGCGTGTTTCACATGCAGCGATTTTGGCCCTAAAGGGCCGCCCACACTAGCGAGAAAACGCGCCCGGCGCGCCGATAAATCGGTTAAGCGGGAAGATAAAGGGCGTGTCTCTGCACGCGCTCGTGGCGCTGACTGTGCTTCGGCGACATTTTGTTACTTGCCGCGATCGGCGTGCCACGCGCGTTTTCTCGCTAGTGTGGGCGGCCCTTAAAGCGGCGCGATTTCTGCCGTCGCGGCGCTCGTGCCGCAGAAAATGCTGGCCAGTGCGCCGCGACGGCAGAAATCGCGCCGCTCTAGGGCGAAAACCGCTGCATGTGAACTAGGCTTTAGAGCAAGAAACTCGCGTTTGTATTTGTTCCTGCGGTAAAACACAAGGTGAAACAGAGTATTGGCGACGTGAGCGATCGAAATCGTCGCTGTGGTCGGCCCACCACAATTGGGCGAATGCTGACTATGACGTCAGCAAAGGATGTCTCATCGACGGAAATAAGAGGAATGTACGAACTTCCATTTTGGCGGTGTTGGCATTGTTGCTTTGAGAGCTCTATGATTTCAGGCTTCCACCATGCCTATTAGAAACACCATCGATTTCGTTGTTCACAAAGTAATGACGTCACGAAAGGTAACCGAACGAGGGCGCCATCGAAACATCTCGCCGCTAATAGGAAGTATTCACTGGCGGCCATAGCTGTGTGCGCGACTGCTGAGCGCGGGCTGATAGGTAGCTTCCAGGGTTCTTTTGCAACGCGCATTCCACCCCGTCAAAATGGCCGGTCTTAGCAGCCTATTAATGAAGAGAGAGGGCAGAGTCTGCTCTCGCTGTAGCAACGTTTGCAGTGCTAAGGAGAGGACAAGACTGGAAGTCGCGTACCCCGCGGCGCGTCATGCGCACGTGACCCGAAAAACATTGTATGAGTTGAAAAGCATCCCCAAATGCCATCTTATTTGGCCGGAAGTCCGAAAATCGTTTCAAGGGTCCTTTAATGCACGAGAGCTTGTGCCGCCGAGATGTGCCCTAGAGCGAGAAGCTCGCGCTTGTAGCCTCTCCTGCGGTACATCATAAGGTGAAATGCAGCATAGCCTTCGTTTACGCAGGGCGCTTTTCTTTTAACAAAATGGTTCTGTTGTTTGTCATTCTGTTATATACTATTTAATGTGGCAATAGAAAAAACGCCCCTGGTTGGATTGTTATCGTTTTTGGCTCTTACGCAAAGGACCGAGGTTCGATGCCCCGGCAGGACGCACACTTTTGTTATTTATGTAAATGACGCGTTCCGGTAAATTTGAGAACCCCGTTGCTTTTTCGAGACCCGAATGTACTACTCGCCGAACCGTCTACGCCGATTGTTCCAGAAGCCCACGTGTGTACATAACGGGCTCGGCCGTGGCGAGCCTCAGTGAATCTCACTCCAGCGCATGATCCTGCTGTTACGCCGCCATCGACGCCTACGACGTTAGCCTTCTTCTATTTTGTTTTGGGCACAAGTTCGCCCAAAAACGTCGTTTTTGTGCGAACTTGCGCCAGCACAAAAACGACGTGCAAGACGCCAGCACAAAACGTTGTTTTTGCACAAAAACGTCGTTTTTGTGCGAACTTGCGCCAGCACAAAAACGACGTGCAAGACGCCAGCACAAAACGTTGTTTTTGCACAAAAACGTCGTTTTTGTGCTGACGCCAGCACAAAAACGACGTGCGAAAGTTCGATCATGAGCGCAGCGCGGTTGCGGAACACACTGACTCGAATGACCACCGCATTGACTTCGACAACACACGCATCCTCGACATTGAGACCAATTGCCGGCAGAGGCTCTTCGCCGAGTCATGGCACATCCAAACCACACAGCAAAACATCAATCGGTCGCTTGGCGCTTTACCGTCCGCTTACGTCAGCGGGCTCAGCCACATTACGATCGCGAAAACATCACGTCCACCGCTGTAAAAGAAGACAACTCGCCCCTCGCGCACACAGTCGCCCCTGAAGAAGAAACCAAGCAGGTTTCGAAACGTTGGGCTCCTTTTTATTTTTGGTTGGCGTTCCTTCCCCCTCTTCTAATTCTTTCACGTTTCTCTGTTGCTGCGCTCAGGACGTTTCCCAAAATTTTTGATGGTTTTTCTTTCCCAAGAGTCACTTTATTGGGATTCCGCAATCATAAATTCAACAGTGTCCTTTTCGTTGCAATATTATGGCCAAGGTTGTTAATGTCCCTCAATATGCACGCTTCCTGAAATCGTACATAGATGTAGACACACGAATGTATAACATCCGTGTGGAGATATTCGAGCAGTCTGCACACCTCGCAATGACGGTTCGCAACTGAAGCTTCATTGGCGCAATCGCGGCTTATACTTGGGGGGGCAGAATTTGGGAGGAGGCAAATTTGGGACAGGGAGTTGGGTGGCGCCGACACTT